GAGATGTACTATACAAAATGACATTTGTTTTTAAGACAATAAGCAAATAAACAAACTGGGGAAAATTGAAAAGCATAATATAGTAGGTAGTAGTAGTTTAAATGATTTACGAGAAAAAAATAAACTTTTTATTTTAAAAAAAATCGACTAGCGATATCTATATTTCAAAATCATACTATCGGTATATTTTCCAAAAAATATTAGTAATAAATGCCGATATTTCTAAATAATAATATCGATTTTTGGATATATCGATATTTTATCAACAGTCCTAGTTCAAACGCGTAGATTACCTACTGTATTCTATTCAAACCAGCGTTGTTCTTGATACGGCAATTGCCGTAATATACGGCATCCAGGTAACTTTGGCAACAAAAATACGGTATACGGCAGCTATTTAAATACCGTATTAAAATATACGGTATTTGACTAAAGTAATCACAAATAAATATTTCGTATAACGAAACGCACCAACTTGTGAACACAGAATATTTTTGCCACAGATAAAGTAGGAATGTCAAACGTTAAGAGTATTCAACTAGATTCAACCTTATCATTGAGGATTTAATGTCTAAAATCTTTAGTTCCTCATTCTAGTAAGTTTACTTACAACCTTTACTCGGGTAGGTTCTAGGATATGTGGGGAATCCCCAGAATAATTGTTACTGTGCTGTACCTATTGTGGTTCTGTCATTTAACGCTTTGTTTTGCTTTATGTACGATCTATTAGTTAAAGCTATTTTACGAATATTTTTTAGTTTTAATTGAAAATGAGTGATAATGAGTGTGACATTAACGACGGGCCACCTACGCCGAAAAAAAAGGTAAAAAGTAAACACATAAAACAAAAGTACAGAAAGCAGTGGGAAAGTGATGAAACGTTTAAGAATTGGATTGTCCCTGTCAGTGATGACCCCTACAAGGCAAAATGTACAGTGTGTGATGTCAAACTTTCTTGCGAAATTTCAACTTTAAAACGTCATGTTTTAAACGCTCAACACGTAAGAAGAGCATCAGCGAGCTCTTCTGCAAGAGACGTTAGCACTTATTTTCAGAATCGACAAACCGATCAAAATAGGAAAGTAATGGAAGCCGAAATAAAACTTAGTGCATTCGTCGCAGAGCACAACATATCATTTATGGCTATGGATCATTTATCGGAGTTGCTAAAATCGTGTTTTCCAGACTCCAGAATTGCTTCCGAGATTGCCATAAAACGAAAAAAATGCACATATACGGTAAAAAATGTTATTGGTGATTTCCAAAAAGATTATTTGGACAACATTATTAAAAATAATAAATTCAGCGTACTGGTAGATGAATCTACGGATATTTCAGCCACAAAAACAATGTGCAGTATTATCCGTTATTTTGATGACCAGCAAAAAAAGGTCATGTCTTCACTATGGGAACTGGCACCTTTATTTGAGGCAGGCGATTTTACGATGGCAGCAGAGGGAGCTACAGCAGAAGCCATGTATGATCTCATTATAAAGAAATTTAGTGATAGAGGGATCCCATTAGAAAATATTATAGGATTCGCGTCAGACGGCTGCAACGTTATGATGGGATCACAAAATTCAGTAGCCAGCCGTTTGCGAGAAAATCTGCCAGGTATATTTATTTTTAAATGTATATGCCATTCTATGCATTTGTGTGCCAGTGAGGCATGCAAAAAATTACCAAGACGATGCGAAGATTTGGCGCGAAACATTTACGGTTTTTTCAATCTGAGTTCCAAACGCCAAGCCCAATATTTGGAATTTCAAGTTTTTACTAACTCAAAAATCCACAAGATTTTACATCCATCGCAAACTCGGTGGCTTTCCCTGCTATCGGTTGTGAACAGGTTGCTTGAACAGTGGAACAGCCTTAAATTGTTTTTTACGCAAAAATGGCTCGAAGAAAAAACTGTAGCTGCAGAATTAATTTACCGTGAGCTGCGTGACGATTTTATTAAGCTTTACTTATTATTTCTGCAATGGATATTACCAAAATTTATTAAACTCAACGAGTACTTTCAAAGCGCAGACTCAAAATTGGTGGAACTGGATGAACACATAAGATTAATGTACAAAGAATTATTAATGTGTTATATGCAAAGGGATTATGTTCAACAAAATGTGATCAGCTCAATCGCCCCAGAAGATACGCGATATTTTCTCCCAGAAATGTATTTGGGGGTAAAAATTATGATAGAAACGCAAAAACCAGATATATCAACAAAAAAAGAAGAATTAAAAGAGTTTTACTCTCGCTGCAGAGATTTCGTCATCACAGGCTGCAAAGAAATTAAAAAAAGATACGACTTCTCTGACGATTTACTTCAACTTTTAAAATATTTATCACCTGAAGAAGCAGCTAGTAATCAAACAAGAAATGTTTGTCCATCAATTTTACCGCTTATGCAAAAGTTGCCACGAATCGTCAATAATGCCGACGATTTCCAAAAAATTGATGATGAATGGAGAATACTACCAGTGGTAAACAAATTACCATTATATGAAATTAGCTCACAGAAAACCGATGAGTTTTGGATTAAAATCCGTGATGGAACAGAACTAAAAACATTAGCATCTTTTGCTCTAAATGTTTTATGTCTGCCATACTCGAACGCAGACTGCGAACGTATCTTCAGTGAAGTAAATAATATGAAAACGAGACTTCGAAATAAATTATTAACTTCAACTATTAATGGAACTCTTCTAGCCAGACAAGCAATCCGTAATCACGGTAATTGTACAAATTTTCAAGTGCCAAACGAAATGATTCGTAAAATGAAAGATAAAAAAAAGGATGACCTAAATGCGACAGAATCAGAAGTACTGGAAACTATTCAAAACCTATATGGTGAAGAATAAAATTAGTCCACCTGTATTACACACTTATTTATTACGTAAACAACATTTCATATTTTTTTTTTATTTTAACCTTCTAAATAAATATTTGGTATAATACGGCATTTTTCTTAGTTTTCCCTAAAAATCCGGCAATTTCGGAATTAGAATACGGCAATCCTAAATTTGTCAGGAACAACGCTGATTCAAACTATGTTGTCATTTCTCGATCGACGGGGCCGCGCGTATACGTGCGCTACATGTGTGGCTAACAAACCTCTCACCGCGTCAGTTGAAAAAAATGGATTCATCTTCTGAAGAGGATATTTTACTTACTGCGACTGCCGTTTGTTGCCATTTAATAACTTCAAAACCCAAAAAGAAATGGACGAAAGAATGGTTAAAAACGAGATATCAATTATCTCATATTAATTTATTAAATGAGTTATCACTGGAACCAAGTGACTGGCGTAACTATTTAAGAATGGACGAATACACATATTTCAAGCTACTTGAACTTGTGACTCCATATATTGTGAAACAAGATACAAATATGAGACAAGCTGTTAGCCCCAATGAAAGGCTGACTGCCACTCTTCGTTTTTTAGCATCGGGAATGAGCTATGAAGAATTGAAATTTCAAACTGTAATATCGCCACAACTTCTAGGAGTTATAATTCCGGAAACATGTAAAGCAATACTCATGGTATTGAAAGATTATATGAAGGTAGGTATTTTATAGGTTGAATAAGTAATTCGCCACTAACGCCGCAAAGGGGCGAACCTCCATTTTTCGAAAAATTACAGGAGAGCAAGAAAACATTTATTATTCTGCGATTACTAGCTTTTTTCATCAGTAAATTAATCTTATTTGTAGTTTTCCATTAAGTCTAATATATTTAATTTTCTGATGAAAATAAGCTAGTAATCGGGGAATAATAAATGTTTTCTTGCCGTCCTGTACCAAATTTTTTGATAAATTGAGGTTCGCCTCTGCGGCGTCAGCGACGAATTAGTCCAGGAGGAATCGGCGCATGAGTACCAAAAACTATTCCTACCTACTCCATTTTTTATGCGATTCTCTTCAAATTGTCTTACTGATGATATAAATGCATGTTGCCATGGGGCAACTCGGTGCCATATTGTTTATACCGATTTTTTTTTTCAATTGCAAGGAATTGTTATTTTAAAACGACATTTTTTTATATTCTTTGATAAAATACGAATAAAAAAGTTATATGATTTTTTACGATAAAGTTAATATTTTCGAAGTTATGAATTTTTAAATGTTTTAAAATTCCAAATTTGAATACTATCGACCCATTAAAATGTATAGAAAAAGAATAAAATATAAAAGATATTTTTATATTGTTTGATAAAATATGAATAAAAAAGATCCTATGACTTTTTACGTAGAAGTTAATGTTTTCGGAGTTATAAATTTTTAAATGTTTGAAAATCTCAAATTCAGATACTCTGACTCATTTAAAATATATGAGTAAATTTATAAACACTACAAATTTGAACAGAATCGCATAAAAAATGTGAGGTGGAATAGTTTTCAGTACTCATGCGCCGATTCCTCCTAGACTAAATACAGGTTGTTTAGTTGAATATGTCACTGTATAATTGTAAACGGAATGGATGATTATACGGTGACAAATTGAAAGTAGATGTACGCCTGAATGACGGCCTTGTAGTAGCGTAAGAGGCGACAGAGGGAAACAAATCAGGAGATGGGCAACAGTCTTCCTAATAACGACTAAAAATAAAAATAAACTGCGGTCGCCAGCCCGTTTGCCAAGTGTGTCAACTATGGCAAATATCCCCCCTAAGAGGCAACCTATGGGGGATATCTATGTGTAGCAGTGGACTTTAATAGGCTGAAACGGTAACGGTACACATGTATACAAATATATTTTACCATTGGACCATCTTGTTTAATTCAAAAAATTTGCTTTTCTTTAAAAAAATCGATAAGTTCTTGCTCAACTAATATTTATGGGAGAGCTGATTCAGAAAGTTAGTTCTATAGTAAAAATTGTTTGTATTGTGTATACATTCACCGTTCGTTTTGTATGTCATTTCTAAATAAAGCCACGTATTTTATATTTTAGGTGTAACTAGGGTAGAGGATACTGGGTACAATAATAAAATAAAGGTAGAAAGACAATTTTTTTATTTATATGTTTTATATTTAGACTTAAAAAAACTCTTCAGGGTGTCTCTGGTCCAAATAAAGATATATAGGATGATTGATTTTGTACGGACGACGATGCTAAAGGTAGCTGTTGATGTGGTGATGGTGATGCTAAAAATCTAGACTGTTCGTGAGAAGACTGATGGGGTGGTTGATTTAGTATGGACGGTGATGGCAAATGTTGATGTGATGGTGGTGATTGAGTTTGAGAAGATGGTGATGTTAAAAATATAGACCGTTGGTGAGACGACTGATAGTGGGATTTATTTTGTACGGAAGACGATGCTATAGGTAGCTGTTGATGTGGTGATGGTGATGCTAAAAATCTAGACTGTTCCTGAGAAGACTGATGGGGTTGTTCATTTAGTATGGACGGTGATAGCAAATGTTGATGTGATGGTGGTGATTGAGTTTGATAAGATGGTGATGTTAAAAATGTAGACCGTTGGTGAGACGACTGATAGTGGGATTTATTTTGTACGGACGATGATGCTATAGGTAGCTGTTGATGTGGTGATGGTGATGCTGAAAATCTAGACTGTTCGTGAGAAGACTGATGGGGTGGTTGATTTAGTATGGACGGTGATGGCAAATGTTGATGTGATGGTGGTGATTGAGTTTGAGAAGATGGTGATGTTAAAAATATAGACCGTTGGTGAGACGACTGATAGTGGGATTTATTTTGTACGGACGACGATGCTATAGGTAGCTGTTGATGTGGTGATGGTGATGCTAAAAATCTAGACTGTTTGTGAGAAGACTGATGGGGTTGTTGATTTAGTATAGACGGTGAAGCCAAATGTTGATGTGATGGTGGTGACTGAGTTTGCGAAGATGGGGATGGTGAAAATCTAGACCGTAGCTGAGAAGACTGATAGTGTGGTTGATTTAGTATAGACGGTGAAGCCAAATGTTGATGTGATGGTGGTGACTGAGTTTGCGAAGATGAGGATGGTGAAAATCTAGACCGTTGGTGAGAAGACTGATAGGGTGATTGAGGATGTTGCAGATAGTCGGTGACAATGTGGGATGTATAATTTAAGTTATTGAATTCAGCATAAAATATTGCGTCATTTATTATTTTTTGACAATATTTGGCTGCATCTTGGTTCATACTTCTCAACTTTTCAGCCACATGCTCGCCAAATGCACTATATGGTGGTTTTGATTTTGTAACTGGTGAATCCAGCCTGTTTGATATTTTTGATAAAACTTCTGTTGCGGCATTTTTTACTTTTCTTTTTGCAATATTAATTTGCCGTGGGTAGTTTTGTTGTGATATGCTCGTCCTGCATGCTGACTGATTACACTCTTCCTCCATCTGTTCCTCAGTATTCGTGTCCACATCATCCTAAAAAATACACATGCTTTTATTACAGATGCCAGAAACGGAGGCCGAGTGGCGAACAATTGCGAAAGGATTGGCAATTTCCTAACTGTCTGGGCGCTATCGACGGCAAACACGTCCGGATTGTGCCACCGCCTGGATCGATTGCCACTTACTACAACTACAAAAAATTTTTTAGCATTGTTTTAATGGCTTGTGCCAATGCAAATTACGAAATTATATGGTGCGAAGCCGGTGTAAATGGCAGAAGATCTGATGGTGGTGCTATTACTGAAACGCGTTTTTATAAGAAGTTAAATAATCACGATTTAAATATTCCCAATAAAAAGGAGCCCCAAAACAGTACCAATGATTTGCCTTTTGTATTTGTGGCCGACGAAGCATTTAAATTAACACCCGACCTTCTGAAGCCTTTTGGTAAAAATGCTCTAACTCCAGAGAGAAGAGTATATAATTATAGATTATCACGAGCAAGAAGAGTAATTGAAAATGTTTTTGGAATAATGACTCGTCGTTTTCGAATTTTTAATACGGCCATTAATTTGAGTATACAACGAATCGATCTTGTTGTCCTAACGTGTAGTATTCTCCATAATTTTTTGAGGAGGTCGGGATCTAATTATTCAGACTATGAATTATCTGATATTGACGACAGTACGAGTACTGTGGAAGACAATATACCAGTACAAGGTATCATTCCATTAAATGTAATTAATGGCAATGTTAGCAATGATGCAAAATTTGTAAGAGAAGAATATGTACAATATTTTAATGGTGAAGGTGCTGTTAGTTGGCAAAATGAGAGAGCATTAATTTAGTTTACTTCTACAATAAATATAATGAAAAAGGAAGCTAATGATGTTTTATTTTAAAACATTATACCCAATTATCATAAAGCTAACGGTGGTAGAGCCACGCAGCAGTCTTTGCTGTTGCACGTATGGGCCGGCTCGAGCCGGGTTAGTACCACGATCTCACAGAATACCGGCGTTTGCCCTCCCCCCCCCCCCCCATCAACATGGTAGCGGAATTACAACAAAGACTACCCCAGGAGCGTATCAGCACCCCTGGAGAATCCCTCGCTGAGCATCCACGACCATGTTAATCCATCCTGAGCGTGGGTGCTCAGCCTGCCCCGCGTATTCGGGGGAGCAAAATTCCGCTCAAAAACATAACTGCTCGGGGCAAACTGAGCAAATATACCAAGGCGACCTCTGCCACGCTATCCGTGAATTTTTGCAACGTCAGGGGACTTCACTCGAACCTAAACGCCGTCCACTACCTTCTCGAGACGGCGAAGCTGGCCTTGCTCTTTCTGACCGAGACGCAGGTTTCCCCTCCGGCTGATATTTCGTATCTCTCCTACCCGGGGTACAAATTGGAGCACTCCTTTGTGCCTCGGGCTGGAGTTTGCGTGTATGTCAGAGAGGACATCTGTTCTCGACGCCTCGGCAGTCTTGAAGGTTTGGACCTATCCATCCTTTGACTACGCGTAGACAGCGACGATCATCCACGCGTCTACGGGTGCCTCTATAGGTCCCATAGCGGTAATGCCGAAACAGACCGACTCATCGACCACGTCCAAATGGCTACAGATTCCTTCCTACAACAGTTCCCATCCGCAGAGATCGTGATCCTTGGCGATTTTAACGCCCACCACGCCGAATGGCTCGTTTCACGTTTAACCGATCATGCGGGGAGATCTGTTTATGACTTTGCCTTGGCATATGGTCTGACACAACTGGTTACTTCGCCTACGCGAATTCTAGATGTGGAGGATCATACACCGTCCCTGTTGGACCTTCTGCTGACCTCTCATCCAGACGGATATCAGGTTTCCGTCGATGCCCCTCTCGGCTCTTCGGACCATTGTCTGATCCGGAGTGTGGTGCCACTCACGCTCCCCTCGCGGTTGCGTTCTGCAGGTTGCCGCCGTGTTTGGAATTACAGGTCGGCGGATTGGGACTGAATGCGGTCTTTCTTTGCATCCTACCCATGGGGGCGGGTTTGCTTCTCGCCGGATATCCCAGCGCTGTTGCTGACTCTGTCACTGATGTGGTGCTACAGGGAATGGAACTATTTATTCCATCGTCTGTGGTACCCCTCGGAGGCAGATCTCAGCATTGGTTTGGTCGCTCCTGTAAGACTGCATTACGCAGTAAGCAGGAGTGTTATCAAGTCTGGGCGGCGGCTTCGGCGACTCGGGATGTAAACACCAGCACACTTAAAAAGAAGTATAACTTCGCCTCCAGGTCCTTCAAAAGAGTTATTGCCAAGGCAAAGTCACAACACATAGGCAGAATTGTCGAGAAACTAGTTCGCTTTCCTTCGGGAACCCGTGCATTCTGGTCTCTCGCCAAGGCTGTCCAAGGGAATTTCTGTAAGCCATCACTACCATCTCTGCAGAGGGAGGACGACTCACTGGCCCAAGCCGCAAAACACAAAGCCGACCTTTAATGCTCCCTTTTTGCGTCCAACTCGACTCTTGATGACGGGGGGAAAACACCGCCGACCATCCCGCCGTGTGTGTGCTCCATGCCGGATGTGCTGTTCTCACAGCGCTCGGTTCGCAAAGCACTCATCTCCCTGGACATCCAGAAGTCGAAAGGGCCTGACGGAATCCCCCCCAATTGTGCTGAGTACGTGTGCTCCGGAGTTGGCACCAGTCCTAACGCGTCTTTTCCGGTACTCCTACTCCCAAGGCCTAGTCCCGAATTCATGGAAGACAGCTTTTGTCCACCCGATCCCTAAAAAAGGCGACCGCTCAGACCTGTCCAACTATAGGGCTATCGTGATCACCTCCTTGTTCTCCAAAATAATGGAATCCATTATTAACTGCCAGCTCATGCGGTACCTTGAGGATCACCAGCTGATTAGTGACCGCCAATACGGTTTTCGTCGGGGTCGATCAGCTGGTGATCTTCTGGTCTACCTGACCCATAGTTTGGCGGAGGCAGTAGAGTCCAAGGGGGAGGCGTTGGCCGTTAGTTTGGACATTTCCAAGGCCTTCGATCGGGTATGGCACAAAGCGCTTCTATCGAAGCTCCCTTTCTATGGACTTCCCGAGAAATTGTGCAATTGAATCACCAGCTTCCTTGCAGATCGGAGCATCAAGGTTGTTGTAGACGGTGCATGCTCCGACTACAAGCCTATTAACGCTGGTGTTCCACAAGGCTGTGTGCTATCACCAACGCTGTTTCTTCTGCATATCAATGATATGTTGCAAACCGGTAACATTCATTGCTATGCAGACGACAGCACTGGTGATGCTTTATACACCGGTCGTGCCAATATTTCTCGGGAAAACGTCACCGAGTACCGGATCAAACTTGTGTCTGAAGCTCTGACTTCGAGACTTTATTGAATAAAGCCACAGACTGGGGGCGACTTAATCTAGTCCATTAGAATCCCCAGAAGATACAAGTTTGCGCTTTTACCGCTAAAAAGAACCCCTTTGACATATCTCCTCAGTTTCAAGGTACCCTTGTTGCCTCAGCCAGTATCGGAATCCTCGGTGGCGACATATCGAGTGACGTGCAGTTTCGTGGCCACTTGGAAGAGAAGGCCAAATTGGCCTCTAAAAAGCTGGGCGTGCTCAGCAGAGCGGGACAGTATTTCATGCCGGCACACCGCCTGCAACTTTACAAGGCGCAGGTTCGGCCTCACATGGAATACAGTTCCCATCTCTGGGCAGGGGCTCCCCAGTGCCAGCTCCTTCCACTTGACCACATCTAGGGCAGAGCGACTCGAATCGTCGACGACCGAGTCCTTTCCGATCAGCTCGATTCATTAGCACTGCGAAGAGATGTTGCATCCCTTTGCATTTCCTTTCGCATCTACCATGGGGAGTGCTCTGAGGAATTGTTCGGGTTAATCCCAGCCGCCAAATTTCACGAACGCACATCGCGGCAGAACTCCCGATACCATCCACACCATCTGGATGATTGGCGGTCCACCGCTGTACGATTTAGAAGATGTTTTCTTTCTCGCACGACTTCCTTGTGGAATCGATTACCACCAGCAATTTTTCCGGACCGATACGACTTAGGGACCTTCAAGAAAAGAGCGTACTCTTTTTTAAAGGACCGGCAACGCATCTGCAATTCCCTCCCTGGTGTTGCGGTTGTTCATGGGCGGCGGTAGTCACTTACCATCAGGTAAGCCGCATGCTCGTTTGCCCCCTCTCCTATAAAAAAAAATTCGAACAATTCCAGTGATGGCAGTACTCATGAATACAAACATTTAATATGGGACCAACCTACTCGAAAGAAATCAGATGTTTAACATATCTTGGTCGAGTAGGAATCGTCATTTTGTATGGATCAGCTAATTTTTTTGACTAGGAAAGCTTGCTTCATAGAAAAAGTTGTTGGTATTCAAGAGTGAAAATAATCATAGTGAAAAAAACATGGCATATTCCAAAGAAAATTACGATAGGTACAAACTCGAACAAAATGTATTGGTAGGTATCAATACGTTTTGTTTGACCTCATTTTAACCGACTTCAAATAAAGAGGAGGTTCTCAATTCGGATGTTTTTTTTTTGTGTGTTATCTCAGACCTTTTTTTAGGTTAAGCGATTTTGATGATTCTGTTTTTATTTGAAAGGTGGTTCTTCTCATGTGATTTCATATAAATTTGATGAAGATCTGACCAGTAGTTTTTAAGTTATATTTAAGTGGTTTCAAATACATCGATGATGTTATAACTTTTTTTATTTGTGTTGTTGTATAAAAGGTTGTATAAAGTTTTTAATTTTACCATCTGTCTATTTTATATTACAAATAAACACGTGTATATCCTCAATATTTTATCGTCATCAAAGGCGCGAACAAAGTAGATTAATTATGTCTTTACCTGATTATCAGTCGTGGCAATTTCATTTAGTATCTCATCGATGTCTTTTGAACTCCTGGAGGCATTGTCACTTTCTGACAAAAACATGATTAAATCATAAAACCATAATTTTGATATGTACAATTCGTCGGTACCAACCCCCGATCGGTTCGTTGCTTTTATCTGTAACAAGCCAGTGATATTAGTCAAGGCATAGAATAAATAATAGTACTACGTACAGAAGTTACACTTCTTTGATGATGACTACATGCCGATGTTTTATAGCCTACATAATTATTATTAAATAGATAAATCAAGCACACAAGCTAAATTAAACTTTATCGCTGCGCGCGAGTGTTCATATGCTTTTGCATCTTTTCCCTTCCTATGTCACGGACCATTGACCTTTAGTAGGTAGTAGGTCAATGTCACGGATGATATTTCGTGGTTACCGGGGGCTTTCAACAAAGAGTAAAATAATGCAGTACGTATAGTGCCCTGTAATTATTCATTTAATTTACAACTGTTTTACTGAATAACGGTTATTATATTTAACAATGGAAAAACTTTAAATCTGATGTATAATTTAAGTAAATACTTGAATGGAAAACATGGACACATAATATTCGTTAATAATTTGAGTAAATTATTTGCTGTTTTTTTATTATAATGTTTTAAAATTGTTAATGAATGTATTTTCTATAATATAAAAGTAAAGTAGTAAGGTTGCAGCCTATTTACGTCCCAAGCTGGGCACAGGCCTAATCTCATTTCTCAGAGGGTATTAGGGCAAGGAATTGTCCACCGCGCTGCCCTAATGCGTGTTGGCGAACCTCATATGTTGTCTTCGAAATATTTTTTTCTTATTTCTCAGACATGCAGGTTTCCTCACGATGTTTTCCTTCACCGCCGAGCACGTGGTAAATCAGCACTTAAAATTGCAATTAACAATTTCATTGGTGCCGGCGGGGATCGAACCCGGGTTGTTCGAGTACTGTGAAGCTTACAACGAGCGCTAACCATCTGAGCTACCACGGCTCTTGAAGCTTACAGCGAGCGCTAACCATCTGAGCTACCATGGCTCTATAATATACATATTAGACATGGGACGAGTACTCGGTTTCGATTCGGTACTCGGCGGATTCGGCCTTTTTTAGGGTTCGGCCAAGCACCGAGTATAAACGGCCGAGTACCGAGTACCTACGCGGGCTTAATTATATTCCAGAGAAAAATAGACGAAAAGCCAGTTTTATCATTATTATTATATTAGACACATTAAAACATCAGGAACACGAGAAGAAGCAGCAGTATTTAAAACGTACATAAGTATCTTTAATAGAAATTATTATTACAAATATTTAAAATTTAAGAGAGGAAGTTTGTGATGCAAAAGCACTAGTTTTTCGTTCTTATTTGGGTCTTGTTTGTAAGGGAAATAACCGCACGCCGCCCGCTACCGCGTTTTTTTAAAGCCGAGTATTCGGCAAAGTACTCGGCCCAATCTAGGCCGAGTACCCAGTGGCCGAGTACTCGGCGAATCACTACTCGTTCCATGTCTAATACTTAGATATAAATTACACCAAAACTTTACAACTATTTTTTTTAAAGCTTTAAAATTCCCTAGTACGTTGCTGACTGCGTATGTAATTTCGCGCGATTTTAGGTATTTACGCCACGCACACGCAGGTAGAAAGAGTGGCAGAGTGGGTCGATGTTTCAATAAAGGGGCAATCTTAAAATGGCCATCTGAAAACGATGAGTGATACCTATTAAGGTACGTTGGGGTAAGATCGGTGATGGGGGAAGACCGTAGGATTCAAATTCCCGGCGAATTATGCTATATTTTGAAAAGCTAACAATATGCTACACGACGCCATTTCATCCTGCCCCGACCCTCAGTTCGCGCCAGTCACTCCGGCAAGTGGGACCTGTGCTGCGTGGCATTTTATAAAACAATGTAATTTTTGTATTATTTTTGTCCATCCGATCTTTCCCTATCACTTTTATTTACGATTTTTAGCGAGAATATGGCTTCTTTTGTTATTATTTTATGTGGATACTAATTTTTATGAAGTTATAGCTAAATAAAGCTGGTCCATGCAAGGGTAAGATCGCTGTAGGCCGAGATCCGATGTTTCCCCTCGTGAGTGAAGATCGGATGAATATTATCCGATCTTTGCCTGTTACAAATATGGCAGTGGTTGTTAAACTTTCATTGGTCGTGTATATTTTTTCGTTGATTACTCAAGTGACTATGGGACTCAGTCTCGTTAGCAAGTCTGTATATTTAAAAGTAATAAACCAATACGATGGTTTTATTACTTTTAAGTACACATTAAAATACATTTTTTTTATAGGATAAGGGTGACAAAGGAGCACACAGTACACCTGATGTTAAATGATTGCTGCGGCCCATAGACATCTATATCTATCCTCTATTACAAATCAAAATGTAATTTATAATAATTATTTAAAAAATAATTTATAATAATAAATGCCGCTTTGTTAAACTATTTATATCTTCCTTAACTCCTGCGTTATCCCAGGGCATTTCGCCAGTCCTTACTGTTATTTTTTTTCCCATATAAAATCAAATGCATCCGATCTTTCTCTTATATTGAGTAATTCCATCTTATGTCATAACAAAGTTTGAGAAACATAAAATTACAATTTCTTTATATCAGGGATAAGATCGGATGGCAAGAAACAAAAAAAGAGAAAATCGTTTGGAACATTTATGTTTCTAGTAATTTATAGATCATATTGAAATATGTTTTTTAGCGTTAAAGATAGGACAAATCTCTTTTATAAACTTTTTTCTCTAAGCAGTAGAAGTGGTTTTAAATTTAAGTCCGGTCTTACCCCTTAATGGCCAATTTTTCATTATGCATATAAAAAAGTATGTCTAGTTTTCCCACACCTTTAAAGCAGAAACCGTTGAGTTTACACAAGCAAAAGATTCTCAAAGCTAAACTACGTTTAACGATTAACGGTTTGCTCCATGTTCCATAAATCTGACGTATACGAATGTCGAGAAATTAAAGTTTTTGGCAGACTCTTCCAACTATTCGAAAATCCGTCCGGTATTACCCCAACGTACCTTACATGATATACATACCTTATTGTGCTCCTTTTTAAAGGCACATCTTAAATTATTGATTTTTTTAGTTACGGAATCCATATTTGCATTTTTGTCTTGTTTACGCAATATCTGCAACAGCGCCTCTAATGCAGACAATCTTTTTTGTTTATTTTTATAAAATGGGTTGTTTATTTTCCACAAGCATTCACACTCGTGGTATTTTTCAATGAATTCTGCAATTACTGCACGTACAGACGCCATCGCGGTGACGGTGAAGCTCCTAATGACGGCCAACGGTGTAAACTCTGTTCGCTTAGATACGGTTTCCTTTGTGTTAGCACATGCCGCTACTTGTCAAAGGCGCCGCCGCATTATCAAAGATCGTCGCCGCGACATCCAAGGTCGTCGCATGCGGCATACATCCGCACGTGAATTTGGCAAAAATAGTGTCCATTTTACATAACTTGTGTTTATTATTTATATTCGTATTTTGTTACAATAACCATAACAATAAATTAGTATTCTATTTCATTCTTAGAATAGATAAACATTTATTTAAATACAGTAAAAAATAATTGAATAAAAATAATTTAAGCAAAATAATAAGTGCGCCTGCGGTTGACCGACATCTTGGTGAACAGACTATAGGCACAATTTAAATAATGTTACTACATAACAGATATAATATCTCTCCCATACAAAAGCGAAAATATCTACGCTGTAACAACCTACAATTTTTTTATAATAATCGCAGACGTTAGCTGCAAACAAAAATATACCTTCTGCTCGCGTACCGGAAGCTGAGAACGCTTTGCCCACCGCGCGACCATCGTATAGCTGCGTCATCGAGCGAACGTGCTAGGATTGTACCAAAAATTATAAAATAAAAACTCGAATTAATGAAATAATTATTTGTTTTGTTTGATAATCCAATTTGTTGAGGTTTATAAAATAAGAAATTATTTGTACCTGTATTAAGTTACATAACACATAATATACTCGTACACTATATTTAGTTTAGTTTTCTCTAGTCACAAGAAAATGTTTACTCCCCCATTTGGGTGAGGGGAGGGGGACTTAAATATTAATTTTTAGTTTAGAAGTGTCACAGACTAAAGATCAGATATTATGATAATTTAATTCATTGTGGTTAATTTTATTTTTATTTAATAAATATGTTATTTATTTTAAATTACCTATCTTTAGAGCTTGCGCCACCCCATTGACAAACATCTAAACCCGGAGCAATAATTTGTAGGCCATAGTTGTTCCGTGCGGAATTCGAACCCGCGGCCCTAGCATTGCAAATCATTGCTAAGCCACTGCGCCACGTAGCCATCAATTTGATGATAATAAAAACTTTATTGCTCAATGTAAGGAAGGTTAATAATATGCAACATCAAGGAAAATTAAGAATATAACAACGTGAACGTCTTTGAAACTCAGATAATTTATCTACTTACCATTTTAACCGACTTCAAAAAAGGGAGGAGGTACTCAAGTCGACTGTTTCTTTGTATGTTACCCCAGAACTTTTTTCTAGGTGAATCGGATTTAATGATTCTATTTTTATTTGAAAACTGGTGCTTATAACTTATACATCCCATAGAAATATGATCAAGATCTGACCAGTGGTTTTGGAGTTATCCTTAATAATGCGTATTAGTATTGAAGTCGGTTGTACAAAACTTTTAATTTCATTTGTTGTCTCTCTTCCTCTCTTTTTAAAAAACGTTACCTCCACACTAGTATTTTCTCCTGTATCGCAGGGACAGTTTACGTACATAGAACAGACCCAGAACAATTACACATATTTGTAGGCCATACAAATACTTGTTCCGTCCGGGCACCATCAGAAAGTTGAGATCATAACAGTCACCTAGATCTTTAAGAGCCCTTTCAAATAAGTTCATACACTATCCTTCTATCTTGTGCCGTCACTAAGATCCTATACCCACCTTCGGATTGCACCATCAGAGAGGTGAGGTTATAAAAGTCACCTAGGTCTTTATACGACCTTTCAAATAAGTTCATACACTATCGTTCTATCTAGTGCCGTCACTGACATCCTATACCCACCTTCGGATTGCACCATCAGAGAGGTGAGGTTATAAAAGTCACCTAGGTCTTTATGAGCCCATTCAAATGAGTTCAAACGCGGTCATTCTATCTAGTGTCGTCACTGAGATCCTATACCACCTTCGGATTGCACCAACATAAAGGTGATATCATCACAATCATCTAGGTCTCCATTTACCTATTTGAAAATGAGTCCAAACACGATAGTTCTACGTAGTAGCATCACTGAGATCCTTTACCCACCTTCTGAGTCCACCATAAGGAAGGTGACATCATTACAATCACCTTGGTCTCCATTCTCCGTCAAAACAACTTCTCTATATATTTAAAATAATATAAAATCTAAACAGCATACAAATAATGTAAGTAGCTACTAAGAAAGTATGTACTTACCAATAATGGAAACGAACTGAAGCCAGCGGATTACGGTGCGCCCGGAATAATACGTGGATTGCCGTCAGTTCAAAATTTTAACTTAAGATTTCACATTCACGATCAGTTTTTGGATGTACTTCAGTTCGACTAAGCAGTTTAACTGACAGCACGCCCGAAAAAATCCGTGTGTTGCCTTCAGTTAAAAATTTCAACTTAAGATTTCGCATTCACGGTCAGTTTTTGGATGTACGTCAGTTAAACTGTTCAGTTTAACTGACCGTGAGTGGGGACCATATACTATATCACAAGAGCACATGGTACTTCGTAGGTCTATTCGGCCATATGATAGTAATAAGACGGCAGTTCAACCGTTTTAAGCAAAATTAAACAATAAGACAAACGCATTGTTTTTTTTTAACAGGAGAATTTGAAGAAAAACAAACACTGTCATTGCGATCGCTCACAAACTCAAGTTAACTCAAGTTTCTTGAGTTTGTGAGCGATCGCAATGGATGCTATTATTTGTTACTTATTAGACTATTTTTCCACAACATGATTTAAAAAACCCACAAAGTAAAAAGAGTAGGTACCATGTACAAGTTAAAAAAAATTGTCAACGCCGGTTGTCAATCCAGAAACGAAACTGTAGGCATGAACTACTTGCAAAATAGTGTATATTTTGTTCTGGATAAATCTTCCAAAAACGCATTTTGAGCGAGTTATAACGATTTTTAAAAAGACACGACTCAAAAATAATCGATGGCACGCCTGGCGTGCCATCCGCACTGAACCGGTTAAGCTGAGTACAAAAAGAAGATACATGGTCATATTTATGAAGACCAGAAATGAATCTGATGCAGTTATTGAGGAGACCATCGAATGTGTTAAGATAAGTATGTGCAACACGCATCTACATAATCTATTATCGGCAAAATAAGAGATTGAACTAGCAAAACTTTTGTAGCGGTAGGAAGAAAAATTTTCAGACGATAAAGAGATCGCAGTGTTGCAGTAACTTTGCGGCTTACCTCCTGGATCTGCTTGTTCCATGAAAGACAGCTATCAACAAACAGACCGAGATTCTTAACATGTGGAGAGTATGGGATAGCATTGTTGTTGTACGAAATAAACGGCAACGTGGAGATATCTAATTTGGATAAGTATCTAGAGCTTCCTAAAAGTAACTACAACTACAGTGATGATGTTCTCATTTTATTTACTTAGTCGGGTCATAAGTTCTGTCAAAACCTTATTATTTAAAAATTTTAATACTGGCTAGATGAACTTCACCAATTTTAAAAATATAACGTTTACGCTTGCCGAAAATAAAAAAGACATTAATTTTTATTCATTTTCAAATATGGAGTGGTCGAAGAAAGA